CGTATAGATTGTAATGTTAGTGCCGTTATTGTGAAGTTAGAGTGAATTTAGTTTGATTTAGTTGAGGTTTCGAATTGACCCACTGAAGCATGTTAAAAAGCGAGAAGAACAACAGTTGAAAAATAGCAGTCAGGTGTGCTTTACAAGATTTGTAAAATTGTTATAGTGAAATCATACAGTTGATTTGGAAAATTTTTTTCTCTGGTTGGGTTTTAAATATAGCTAATTTTTTAATTATCTGAATTACTGCAAATGATTATGTTTAGAATTACTGAATTCCTGGGTAGTGCTGATTTTATAAGAGGATAAATATTACGCTCTGTGATAAATTTATCTCGTTGACACGCTGACTTGGAAAGTGAAGTGTGATAAGTATAGCGTAACTGAGTCAGCTGGTTCAGCGAATTTTATTGTGAAAATTTGTGTCAACATACACTGTACTGATTTGAAAGTTTTTCTTGTGTTGTATAACAAAGCTTTTAAATTTTAATAGTCTTGACTAAAGGGCCAAAAACTGCATATATTCACCATACAAATTTTTTAATATGAGTCGTTGAAAAATTTGTATGGTGAATATATGATTTTTCCATCGTCTGTCAAATCTCCCAAAGCTTAAAAGAAATTTAAGTTTCTCGGTTTCTTTATTTTTTTCTTATGTTTTGGCGAAAGGGTATTAGACGCGAATGTAGTGCAAAAAGAATTAGTTGTTTTTTTTTTAGTCCTCTATGGCTCCGGCGGCCGATGTTGACGCCATAAGTGAGGATGCTGGTAATTTGCAAAAAAAACAGTTTTTGTGCGCTCAGATTCTTCATAAACATCTCTTTCTGTTGAGCTGCGTCCAGGCGGAGGTAATCTTTAGAATGTTTCAGTTTTTTTGAAGTACGAGTTTTAGAAAGACATTTTTTTACTTATCACTAATTTTTCATTTGAACTTTTTAGGCTTTCTCGGCTTATCAAAGTGCCACTAAAGTGAACCAATGGGATTTTTTTACTCTTAATTCGCTTGATGTTCATAAACACCTTACTGAGGATCTAACAAGGAGCTTGGATAAACATCGTCCATATTACTATCTTGACGTTAGCGAATTAATATTTAATTTCGTTTTTACTTGACATTTTTTTTTGAAATTTTATTCTTGAAACGTTTTTAAAAAAATCTGTTAGATTCATTTTAACTTCTTGGATTACTTGAACTATTATTATCAGTATCATTACTGTCACTGTTGATTTTATTTTTATTTTCTAAAGTAATTAGTGGTTAGTGGAAAACAGTTTTGTTTCAAGAAAGCATACTTGTTTTGGACGGAGCGTGTTGCACCTCAAGTTTTACGCTCAACATCTGAGCAGGAACGGTATAGCTGCTGCAAACTCGCAAAATTTATTGCCTCTTACTTACTTCTTGCAGCACAGGTTCAAATTTCCACTCTAACTGCTTTAATTGCTTATATAATACTACTTATAAGAAGTTCTGAATGTATTTCTCTATAATTTTTGTATGATTTTTTTTTTTTT